TTCAGGGCATCTGCCTTTTTCTTTTAGCAAAATTAGCCCTAAGGATAATGAAGACATCATCACACTTTTCAAAATGAAATTTAAAGCAATAGAGGATATCATGAAGGGAAAGGGAGTTAATTTTAATAAGAGAAAAGTAATAAAAATCAAAATGAAATTGATATTTAAAGGGTAAATACCTTTACTATGTGATCCAAATATAAAAATTGTTATGATAAACACCTCTATGGAAAAAAAATGAGCAAACACAAAATGACAGTCCCTCGAAAAGGAAATAAAAATGGTTAATGAATATATGAAAAAGCCCAACTCAGTAAAATAAGAAATGCAATAAAAAATGATACTTTTTCTCCTAGTAGATTAAAAAATATGAGAACAGATAATATTCAGGGTTAGCAAGAGTGCAGAGAAATACACTGTGCTGTACACTGGTGGGAGGATAATTCAATAAAATGATTTTGGATCAGTAATTATCAATTATATAACAAAAAACTTAAAATTGTTCATATTATTTAGTCATATCTAGGTATTTCTCCTAAGGACTGAAATCAGAAATGAAGATGAGGGTATTTTTTTATGGAGATGATTATAGGGAAATATGTATCATAAAAACATGAAAATAGTATAATGTATAATAATATATAATATACCATAAGATACAGCATATATTATGTTTCATAGTATAATATATAATAATAGTGTAAAAGGTTAAATGAACAATGAAATAGCCATACGAAGTCCAAAATTGATGTCACATTACATAAAAAAAATACATGAGATGTAGCATAATCAGATACATTTCAGTTGCACATACGTGAAGGAAATGTGCAAAAATATCAATAATAAGTTTCACTTGTGAAATTATGAAAGTGCTTATCTCTATTTTTATACTAAATTGTTTTCTATTGCAATACAAAATGACAAATATAGAAATCATAAAGGCTTACATTTTTAGGGGAGAGGAAAAGAAATTTCACTGTTAATATTTACGTCTCCAGAGTACAGAGAGCCTATGGAAATTTCTTAACTGCAGCAGTACAGTGTTGTTAGTTACAGCTTGTCTGATAACTGTAGGAAGTTATCAGATCTCCCAGTTACCAGGAAGATTCCTGCTAAACTCAGATCCTTCATTGACCAGAATTTCTGTCATCAATGATTCCATTCAAGTTTCTTTTAATTAAAATTCCTTTTATCAGACTTCCCTGGTGATGCAGTGGTTAAGAATCCTCCTGCCAATGCAGGGGACATGGGTTCGAGCCCTGGTCCAGGAAGATCCCACATGCCATGGAGCAACGAAACCCATGCGCTGCAACTACTGAGCCTGCACTCTAGAGACTGCGTGCCACAACTACTGAGCCCACACGCCACAACTACGGAAGCCCAGGTGCCTAGAGCCCATGCTCCACAACCACAACAAGAGTAGCAACCACAGTGAGAAGCCTGTGCACTGCAACGAAGAGGAGCCCCCACTCGCCGCAAGCAGAGAAAGCTCGCGTGCAGCAACGAAGACCCAACGCAGCCAAAAAATAAAAATTTCTTTTATCATCTTTAGGCAAACAAAATTTTTGACTCCATTTTTATGGCAAATTCTCTATTTTCCTGAATCAACTTTTGACCTTCAACATGACATCATGCCACTAGATTCCATGAATTTGGTATACAGAAATGGTTTGTTATACAGAAATTACAGAGAAATAGATAACTAGAACAGAAATTGAGTGGTACTGTAACACAAACCTAAAACACACAGCATTAATTTTGAGACAAGGTGGCAGCTGGAGACCAGAAGGGCAGTGAGAAGAATCAGTGAAAACAGGAAAAACAGTAAAGAAATTGTTTTTGAGGACTGGAGAAAAGAGGACTCACAATAATTATTATTGGAACAATAAGCTTAACTATTGCCTGAAATAATTTTGAAGATAGAAAATATACCTATAAACTTGTGGATCTGGCTAAAGGGATATCCAAGCAAACAGTTGACAGTGTTATTTGTAATCTTTTAGCCATACATAACATGGTATTATAAGAGAGATGAGCTAAAGAAAGAACAATTCAGTTTTCAAGTAGAATTTAGAAGATATATTGCTAACTCAAGACTTTCTGGGTTGGAAAATAAAAGTTTCACATTTACAGCATCTCCAGCTGGCAAAAGATTTTCCAAGTTAAGACACTGTTTCAAGAAAAAGAACAGATTAAGGATTCTGTCTGCAAGACAAGATCAAATCAAAGATGTAGCACTAAGACACAGTGTTAAGACCTCAGAAAGATTTCAGAGATCCTCTCCATTATATAAAAGTTCTACATCTTAAATGTGTCCCACAGTATCCTAACTCTTATGTAACACTAGAGAGAGTGTCCTGTCTTGAAAACACAGGACACTGTCTCTAGTGGGTATGTATTTTATTGAAGAGGATTGATAGGGACAGAATAAAGGGACAAAGTAGGTGATTAAACAGTTAATCCCACTAGGGGATTGTAAGTAGAGAAAAGTAGAGAAAAAAAGTATGGGAGACCCCCATAAGTTAATGATCATTCAAGAAAGCAGGTTTGCTTAACCACAAAACCATGGAGGCTTGTTTAGCAACAAAACCATGCAACAGAAGCATGAGACATGCCCCCAAACAATAAACAATGATGGCATGAGACCCACATCCTGCCCAAGGAGCTTAGTAGGTTAATGATTCCTAGGACACACTCCTCTGCACACACTAAAAACAAAAATATAAAGAAAAGGTCACATTATACTAAAACGTGAGATGATTTACCATTTTTAGCATATGTTGCCACCTTTTTTGCTCATTTCCATTGCACCACCGACAGTCCTGGCTTGACCAGGTAGGGACAAGAAAACTCCCCCACACAACATGGACGAGGAGCTGATGATAGAAGCTTGCCATCTACTCAAGAATGAGGAAGAAGGTGGTCTTCTCTCCCTACCCACTTTTCCTTTGATTATAAAACTGTAGCCCAGTAAGTTCGTGGCATGGCACCCTCTCGCCCGCTTGCTTGTAAGCTTCACAAGTCTCCCATTCTAATAAATCACTTCTTATCTATCAATTTGCCTCTCGCTGAATTCTTTCTGCACTGAGGCATAAAGAACCAGAGCTCCACGGAGCCGCCCCCTGCCCCGCATAGAATGCCACCTAGTGGTTTCAAGACGGAATTATAATTTGGTACACAGAAATATCACACAAAAAAATTTAAGAGTTGTAGTAGCTTAAAATAAAAGTGGCGGAAAGAGTTCAACCAATAGCTTACAACACCATGCTCTATTTTAAATTGCCTATCAGCCTATTTCTAGTATATACAGTTCAGTATTATTTTCAAATGATAATAAGCATAAAATTATTATAGCTAACATTTACTGAGCACTTTTTAAATACCAAGCATTGTGCCGAGATCATTTATAGACTATCCCACTTACTCCTCAAAAAAAAAAAAAAAAAAAAAAAAAAAACCAAAAACAAACACAAAAAACCTTTTAAACTGTTCAAACATTTTGATCCACACCTAGATTTTCATTCCAGGAACTTTATCACAAAAAAGAGATGACATATTTATATGGTGATACCCAGAGCAACACTATTTATTAGAATAAAATCATGGAGAAGCCTCAAAGTCTAATGAAAGAGGAAAGTTAAATTGAGAATCTTTCACATGATGGCTTATAATATATCAATTGAAGCATATGAGTCACTATAACTATTGCTTTCATTTTTAATGTAAAAAATCTAAGGATTGGTCAGGTTATGCTGTCCAAAGTCACACAGAAATTGGTAGATGAAAGATTTCAACTCTGGAATTATGACGTCAGAAAACCCACTCCCAAGCACTGTACCACCTTCCTTATATTGGATCAAATTACAATTTATAAAAGAAAGTAAACACTACTATCATATCTTATGCATTGAGAAACTTCACTCTGCAACAGAACACATCCTACTTGTAATCTTGTGAAAAGTATTACAAGATTTACAGGGAAACACACCCTTAGAGGTGACATACACTCATTTCTGGGTATGTTCCCAGAGAAGACTATGGGCTTCTGACTCAGCCTTAGCCAGACAGTGGATATCTTGATCCCAGCTGCCACCACATTGCCTGTTTCAGTGCCAATGAGCTTTATCTGGGTCCCAGATGACAGAGAGTGAACAGGTCATAGGAGGGCATCTTTTATGTTAAGGAGGCTTTCGTGAAACCCGAGAAGGCCTGCTGGTTTGTGTTGAATAAGGCAGATATTTAGCTACACTGTCTTATATAAATGCCTTTACCAAACTTTTGTTTTATAATTTAAAATAAATGCCTATAGATTTTTGCTTTGTCAAAAACAGAAGAAATAGAAAAAAATGATGACACTAAAAAAATCTACATTAATGAAGAGCTATAGCTGAGATCTGAGGCACATACAAGAGTAAAAGATCTTGTTACGGTTCCCATAGCAACTGCAACACAGTTGCATTTCACTTTTATGTTAAGTACGTTTAACTTGAGTGGGAATGCAAAATACTTCCTCTGAGCCAAAAAGAGAATTATGGAGAACACAGAGACCATGTTCCAGACTATTCTGGCTTTCAAGTATGTCAAATATTAACCCTAATACGTATTAACATTTTCCCATCAATACTATATGTTCATTTGTATTGATTTTAAACTACCTTTATTCAATTTATAAAATATAATTATCTAAAATGGGAAGAAGTCCCATTAAAATCTGTTAAATCAGAAACCATGACTTTACAATTCATACATATAGGGGCACTGTCCTGCTTGTAATTATAAGAGAATATTGGCTGAAAGTACAATCTACGAAAATACAATCTGATTCCATTCACTGCCAAGTGTTTTAAGCTTGACATTTTTAATTACTGTAGATATAATCTGAAACTATATAAACAAACACATGGTGCTTTAAGCAAAGGATATACATAAAAATTTTCAAGACATTTGTAGTTTGCATATTTTTCTCTATTTCAATAATGAAAAGCAGGGAGGGTACTTACTCCTGTTATGTAACGAGGTCTATATTGAATAGTTCCAAATAAACCAAGAATGACGATAATAATATGTACAAAATTTGCCAGGATAGGTGCCCACTGATATCCAAGGAAGTCAAATATTTGCCTCTCCAGCACACAAACCTAGAAGAGCAAAACAGGATATATAGATAAGCACAGTGATGAGAGAAAATAAAGGATCACACCGACATTATAATTAGCAATTGTAACTGTGTTACCATATCTGGCATTTGTCTTTAACAGTGAGAAAGACATTTTTAGGTATATTTCAAAGGAAGACTATGGAAGCCGTGGATCCAGAGACAGGTACAATCCTTTCAGGGATGATTTTATGGAGGCATCAAGTAGTATTCGCAGGATGTCATCTGTGCAGTCACAGGATAAATTATATTGTCATATGCATTGTCAAACACTTGAAGTCATCAACCAGCAAGTTCGGGAAATGACGTCCACACCAAGGGCTTGTTGTTAGGATCTGCTCAAATGTCACTGTATAAGTTGGGAATAGAGCAAAGGGGGTTGATGGAGAGGAAAAAGAATTCTTCGGCAAGTCAAGAGACCAGATTCTAGATGTCGACCTGCCACTAGGCAGCTGTAGTGCCCCAGGTAAGTCATTTCCTTCCTCTGGGAGTCTGATTTGATTACTCATTTGTAAAATGTAAGACTTTGACTAATGTCTAGGGTCCTTCTAACTTTAATAGTACTAGATTATAAATCAAATGTGACTTTAAAAAAAATCATATCCAGTTACCTATAGTAACCAGGAAAAAGAAGGGCCCTGAAAGAAACTTAAAACAATTTTTTATTTTAAAAAATAAAAATAAAGCATCACTGTTATAAAAACAAGAAACTTAAGGCATTTGAAATTCTTCCATATTCATCTGTGTTTACAAGTTTACAATTAAGTCATAGGTAAACAGTGGGGGAAGAAAAGCAAAACCAATCAAACAACCAACTCACCGACCAACCAAACAACACCCTGAGATTGGTCAGTAGTCCAGAAGTGCCACTTTATATTGACAAGTGAAACCTGAATAGCTGACAAGCCTCTCATCAGATCTAACAAAGCAAAAGGGAATGGTGTGAATTAAACGCAGCTTTATTTTTCCTGCCTGCCCTCAGGTGGAATGATAACAAACTGTCTGTTCCTAGTAAAACATTGTAAAAGGACCTGATGTTAAGCACGGAGATTCAACAATTGTTCTTCAATTAACTTTTAAAGGAAAATGATTTTAAAACCCCTAAGTCACTAACTATGCTTTATCACTCTGCTTTAATGATATTTCTTTTCAGAAGGACACACTAACTCTTCAAACAGACGGTTTGCTTTTAAATTAAATACCTGTAGCCTAGGTTTGAAGACTTCTTGAATGACCATTATTCCCACTGCAGTTCTTTAACTGACAGCACATTTTCTCATCAGGCATTGAAGGAGAACATAAACTCATGACAACTGTTTGCATGACACCTCTATTTCCTAAGACACACCAGGTACCATGTTACGTTGTAACAGTAAGAGTCCAGCCTAAACAAATCTTAAGTTTCACTTAGTCCTGGCAGTGAATAAAAAAAAAAAAAAAGAGAGGATCTAGGTCCAGGTCTGTTCTATGCTACACATTCTAAATCCAAAATACCCACCAGAGTCCCAACAGGGGAATTCAATATTCTGATTGATTAACAAACAGACTGTCATGGAATATGCACATAACCCAAGCCTCATAAACTTTGAACTGCCTCCTGATGAAACATTCCTTCAATTGTTATCATGCAGTCAACACTCCTTATAAAGGAGGCCCATTTGTGATGTTAAGCAATATTACGTATGCCTTGTTGGAATTCATCAACATTACCAAAAGATAAGTGGTTGTTCTCAGCATTGCTAATTGTCTATATAAAAGCTCCCTCTAACACAGAACTCTGTTATCTTTATCCTATGAATAAACAGTAAGTACAAATGTAAAACAGCAGCAAGAAGAATTTAAACTCTATAAATTTTGAGCATCATAACTGTGGGGACACAGCAGGGAAAAGGTATAGAGGATAAGTGCATCAGTCAAACAGTGGGAAATCCCTCAATAAATGCTCCAATTATGGAAGAAAAGAGCAAGTACCATCGTTAATTATAACAAATATATAGAGAATAATATACTCACTAAGTCTGCAAGGCTAAAATGAAGTTGCATCAACATTTATCAGTCTTCTTTTATGACAGAACTAATGGTTTCATCAAACATTAGTTATGAGGTTATGCAGACTGAACAAGCTAATGTGCAGTTCTTCACTTATAGTATTTCTGCTTTTTCCTCCTCTTTTTGATGGGCTCCTTAGTCATCCTAAGTAGCTTTATCACAGGTTTTACTGTTTAGAGCTAGGGCTGAAGAATGGAAGATTTCAGTAAGTATAAAGGGAATTAACAATTTACAGAGTAGGTACAGTCTTTCCTAAGAACTCCTTCCAACAGGATGTATATTAACTATGAAATCACTAGGAAGTTGTGGAGTTAGAGGAAAGAGAATATTTTCTTTTTTAAGTTAATTGAATTTTTAAAAATTAAAGTATAGTTGATTTACAATGTTGTGATAGTTTCAGGTATACAGCACGGTGATTCAGTTATACACACACACACACACACACACACACACGCACACACACACAACACACACACACACATACATATATATTCTTTTTCAGATTCTTTTCCCTTATAGGTTATTACAAAATAATGAGAATAATTCCCTGGCTATACCGTAGGTCCTTGTTGACTCTCTATTTTATATATAGTAGTGTGTCTATGTTAATCCCAACCTCCTAATTTATTCCCTCCCCTTTGATAACCATAAGTTTTTTTCTATGTCTGTGAGTCTCTTTCTGTTTTGTAAATAAGTTCATCTGTATCCTTTTTTTTTTTTTAGATTCCACATGTAAGTGATATCATATAATATTTGTCTTTCTCTGTCTGGCTTACTTCACTTAGTATGATAATCTCTATGTCCATCCATGTTGCTGGACAGTATTTCATTCAATTGGTATTCATTTCAAATGGCAGTATTTCATTCTTTTTTATGGCTGAGTACTATTTGTTAAAACACTTACTACATGCCAGACTTTCATAATATTCCTTGGTCATCGAATCTGCACAAAACCCAGAGAAGTAAATATTATTGTCTTATTTTTCAGACTAAGAAATCTAAGATGTAGTACGGCTATGTGATTTGCTTGCAGTCTCAGAAGTGGTAAGTGGTCCAACAGGAACGTAGGCGTATGTGCATGCCCTGCGCTGTGTCCTTGCTTTCCAACTCTTGCCACATCTAGTCCAAAAAAAGAAAGCTTTCACAGATTTTGCTGGAGGCATAGGCCGGGTACAGGATATATGCTACATTTTTACCTTATGTATTGTAGAATAGTATAGAGAATCTCTTTGATCATACTTGTCACCTCATAACATTATATCATCACTGGTCAAGGCAGAGTTCCTTTTCGTTTTGTTTTGTTTATTTTCTTATTTGACTCCAACAACCCATGCTCTCAGTGTTATTCCCCTACCATCCACTGGACTCTAATATACTTATTTTATGCCCTTTGAAACACCTGACATACAAATAGATGCATATAGCCTTGAAAAACATTACTGCTGTTGTTTGTGTGTGTGGCATTTTCACATAAAACGTCTTAGGGAATAAGTCTCTTTCATGCTTGTCTATTTTGCTAATTTTACATAAATTTTTTAAATGTTTTTTATTTATTTATTTTCTTATTAGTCATTCATTTTATACATATCAGTGTATACATGTCAATCTCAATTGCCTAATTCATCACACCACCACCACCACCCCCACCTGCTTTCCCCCCTTGGTGTCCATACGTTTTTCCTCTACTTCTGTGTCTCAATTTCTGCTCTGCAAACCGGTTAATCTGTACCATTATCTAGGTTCCACATATATGCGTTAATATGCAATATTTGTTTTTCTCTTTCTGACTTACTTCACTCTGTATGACAGTCTCTACAAGCATCCACGTCTCTACAAATGACCCAATTTCGTTACTTTTTATGGCTGAGTAATATTCCCTTGTACATATGTACCACATCTTCTTTATCCATTCGTCTGTCAATGGGCATTTAGGTTGCTTCCATGACCTGGCTATTGTAAATAGTGCTGCAATGAACATTGGGGTGAATGTGTCTTTTTGAATAATGGTTTTCTCTGGGTACATGCCCAGTAGTGGGATTGCTGGGTCATATGGTAATTCTATTGTTAGTTCCTTAAGGAACTTCCATACTGTTCTCCATAGTGGCTGTATCAATTTACACTCCCAACAACACCCTCTCCAGCATTTATTGCTTGTACATTTTCCGATGATGCCCATTCTAACTGGTGTGACGTGATACCTCACTGTAGTTTTGATTTGCATTTCTCTAATAATTAGTGATGTTGAGCAGCTTTTCATGTGCTACTTGGCCATCTGTATGTCCTCTTTGGAGAGATGTCTATTTAGGTCTTCTGCCCAATTTTGGATTGGGCTGTTTGTTTTTTTAATATTGAGCTGCATGAGCTGTTTATATATTATGGAGATTAATCCTTTGTCCAATGATTCATTTGCAAATATTTTCTCCCATTCTGAGGGTTGTCTTTTGGTCTTGTTTATGGTTTCCTTTGCTGTGCAAAAGCTTTGAAGTTACATTAGGTGCCATTTGTTTATTTTTATTTCCATTACTCTTGGAGGTAGATCAAAAAATATCTTGCTGTGATTTATGTCAAAGAGTGTTCTTCCTAAGCTTTCCTCTAAGAGTTTGATAGTGCTCAGTCTTACATTTAGGTCTCTAATCCATTTTGAGTTTATTTTTGTGTATGGTGTTAGGGAGTGTTCTAATTTCATTCTTTTACATGTAGCTGTCCAGTTTTCCCAGCACCACTTATTGAAGAGACTGTCTTTTCTCCATTGTATATCCTTGCCTCCTTTGTCATAGATTAGTTGACCAGAGGTGCGTGGGTTTATCTCTGGGCTTTCTATCTTGTTCTGTTGATCGATAGTTCTGTTTTTGTGCCAGTACCATATTGTCTAGATTACTTTGTAGCTTTGTAGCTTTGTAGTATAGTCTGAAGTCCGGGAGTCTGATTCCTCCA